AACTTCTTTACATTTTTCTTTTTCTTTATTCTACTTTCCTTTTTTTTCTATTTTCCGTTTTCTTTGCACTTTTTATTTTTCTTTTTCTGAGTTTAATTTGTATTTGCTTTTACTATTTTTAAAATCTTTAAGAAAATTAAAATTCAAAAATAAGTAGAAAACAAGGATTAAAAATCAGTAAATTTTAAATCATTTATGCTTTAACATTCAGCCCAAACTTAATCACAGTGGTGATTCATTTTCTTAAGACGTCCTACATTCCTAAGAAAAATCTAGGATTGGGGTTGCTTAGAAGTAAGCAGTTGTATGTTTCTTTCTGGTTTGTGTGGAAACTGGAGATTTGGCATCCTCTACAAGGAGATGTGATATGTTAATCCAGAAGAGGCTTAAGTATCTTTTCTCTCCCTTTTTTTTGATAGATCCAGAAACAGGGGATGTAAGAAATGTATCAGTGGCCTCTGGCTGCTTCAGTGGATTGTGTGAAATGATCCTGTTGTCCTAATAGAGACATCTGCCGTTAGCTAGATGCCTTGGAAATCAGAATAATCATCTAATCTTTGAGAAACTTTATGAAATCTGTTTGGCACTACATTTGTACTTTATTCATTAACCTAAACTTAAAACAGGAGAAAATAAAGCTTATTTAACTGCATGATGTTTATGTCTCTGTAATAATCTTTCTTCTGAAATAGAGTGGATCCATATGGTTTTGAAAGACCAGCAGACTTTGACTATGCAACATATGAAGAATTCTTTTCTAGATACTTAGTGATACTCACTAGAAGAGCAATTAAGTGGTCCAAACTACTAAAGGGAAATACTAGGATACAGAAAAACTTAAAAGGTAAGACTTTACCATGTTTGAATATGAAATTGGGACAAATACAGTGCACTCAGAAAGTATTCAGACCTTCACTTTTTTCAATTTTGTTATGTTGCAGCCTGATACTACAATCGTTCCAATTCATTTTTTTTTCTCATTAACCTACACTCAGTTTTTCCTTTTTCATACATTTTCAAACATTTCTAAAATTCTTACTACAATCGTTCAAATTCATTTTTTTCCTCATTAATCTACACTCAATACCCCATAATGATAAAATGGAAACAGAATTTTAGAAATGTTTGAAAATGTATGAAAAAGGAAAAACTGAGTGTAGATTAATGAGAAAAAAAAAATGAATTTGAACGATTGTAGTATCAGGCTGCAATATAACAAAATTGAAAAAAGTGAAGGGGGTCTGAATACTTTCCGAATGCACTGTATTTTTCATTTTAAGTTGCAACTTTTTATCTTTTCAAAAGGTATTTTATTACATTGTAGAACCATCATTTGTGAGTGCCTGCCCTTCCTAATTCAGAGTTATGGCTTGTCATTTCCCCAGCAAATTGTGTAGAAAATTTGACAATATTACTTGTCAAACAAATTAACAAAACTGAAGTGCAATAACACCTAGGTTCTGTAGTTCATCACTGAGGAATTGTTTTGATTTTTGTGTAAATTCTGTCCTTGTAAGAAGTTAATTTAATCTGTTTTTTGTTATAAGCATTTGTTAAAAGTAATTATTTGTTGCCAAACTGGAACAATGAGTTGTCATCCACAGACGAAAAGAGTTTTTCTCACCTCAGTTTTCTAATATAAGCAAGAAGAAAAATATATAGGAAAAGACATTTCTCAGTTTATTTTGACAGATGAGGTTTTAGATCTAACATGACATTATTTACTTAACTGGCTTTATGTATACTATTTGAATGATAATGTACAATTATAAAATTAACAGTATTTTATGAAAGCAATAAAATCAATAGATGAGCTGATTTGATTGTCAATCAGATTGGAAAATGAGATATTGGTAGGGTTAAACGTGGCCTTTGTTCAAATTGGCGCTCTCAGCGTACGCTAGACTAAACCTACCATCTTATTATACAGAGAAATCCTTATTCAAAAGGGAAAACCTGATGTGGAGTGCATGTGGAATGCACCCACTGCACTTGTCAGAACTCCTTATTGAAGCTGTACCTGTTTCTTTGTTGATGTGGCAAACCTACCTATTAACCCAGGAAAAGACACACTTGACTTAAGTGTATGCTGGTAGGTGCCACACGTGGATCCCTGTGTGCTCCAGTAGTCTTCTCCTTTTGAATCAGGATTGCTGCATCACACTGACACTGCTGTGGTGAATGGAGCTCGGTTTGATGAGCTAAGCTGCACATGTCTAATGAATATTTAAATATTATTTGATTCGTCACCTCTTAATCAGCCATACACAGATTTCAAAATTCCAGCAATACATTCTGGGCATCCAGATGACTCTTCTTATGGCTAATAGATTAATCCTTCAACGCTGGAAAGATAAATGTGTGTATGGCCCCTATTTCTCAATGAATTGAAGACAATCTTGCTTGGCAAATTATAAAGGAGCTGCTTACATAGATTATGAATGGAAGATTACAATAAAATATGGCTGTCTTTTACTGAAACTTTATACACATGTATGAGAAGAAGCCCTAATATATGTCATTTTTTGTTGTCATTGTTTTGTTCTCTCGTTTTTCTTTTCTTTTTTCTTTTTCTATTTTTTCTACTTGTCTTTGTTTTGCTTAATTAAATAAAGGCATTTTTTTTTTAAATTCCAGCAATATATTCTAGGCATCCAAGGATTTTTTTTTCAATACTATGATAAACTCAGCAAGCTTGACTAACATTTAAACTGAAAACCTGTATTACTTATGAAAATACTGGATTCATTTTTTTTTCTCAATAAGCTTTTAATTTGCAGTTACAACACATTTTTAGTGCCTCCAGAAATTAAATGTATTGTAAAATTCTGCATTGGTAGCTTTATTTCATTCTTCAGGCAGAGAAAAATGGGTTCTTGGTCTCAAGAACTTAAAGCAGCTTTCTCTCATTTAAAATATGTGGCTCTGTTTCAAAAAGACAGCAGCATTAAGGAATAATGGGGGGGGGTGCAGCCCCAGTTCCCCCCCACCCTTGTTCTTGCTTGCAGAATGATACCTTCAGGATCAGTAGTTGTGTCAGGGAAGGGTCAGCTACAAAGAGAAAGAGAAGGCCAAAATATTCAGATATGCTATTTTCTTTTTGGTTATAAGGATCCCAGAGAAAAATTCAACTTACTAGGTGGCAGGGGCAAACAAAATACCTCTGTCCTTTGGGAGTTCAGTTTTTAAATGATCTTCAGCAAGTTTATTTCATGCTCGTTCTATATGCTCCTACGTGATTTTTGTGCATTTTAAAACAGGAGCTGTTTTTGCACATTGACCGAAGCCATGTATTTTTTTCTTTCATTTTTTTCTGTTTAGCTTGATGTACAGATCCAGTCATGGTGGGTGGTTTACTCAACAAACCATTATTTTCAGAATTCTTAGTATGATATTGAGTGAATTCAGCCAAGTCACATTTTCTCTGTACAAATGGGAGTTGGCAGCATATTTACCTTTCTGTTTAAATTCTTCCCTTAAGTGTGTATAATTATACAGCCTCAGTGATTGTAAATTAGAATGGGTTCCCTAAAAGGCTATTAAAAGACCATTGTTTTTCTGAATAATAAGTGTTAAAGTAGAAATCCCCCCCCCCACAGGGTCCCATTGAAAAACAGTTTTAATTAGTTAGGTTAGGTTCTCTGTCCCCTGAGGGGCAGGAAAATAGAAAAATCAGGGCAATGGAACATCTTTTCTTGACAAATCCCTTAAACAATGCACTGGGATACTTTCTTCAGACCTAATAGAGCATAGTGGCTAAGAGGGTAAGGTCTCTTCTACATGCAAGCATGTTATGATATAGATTGGCAGCATGTCTCTGTGTCCTCACAACACAGTGAGAGTCTTGGTAGTTCGAGCTGATTAACCTCTGTTGACAAGACACCATGATAGCCTGGTTCATATCCTTTCTATCTACCAAGTTGTTTTGAGGGGCACCTTAGCCTCTTCCCCACCTAGCAGGCTTTAGGGCAGATTCTTACAATTGGCACAGGAGCCTGCAGTGGTCCAAAAGTTACAGTGGTTATTGACACGTCTCAGCTCAAAGGGCACTATGAAATTGTAACGTTGGAATGGAACACTAACAATGTTGGATTCACCTTGCCGTATGACAGTGTAAGATGGTCCTGAATCTCCAGTTGTGGGCCCTGTTAATATATTTTAATTGTTTTGTAGGTTTAATTGCTGAGTATTATTATGGCCCTTAGTATCATTTTACATGTTCAAATGTGTATTTTAAATATTTTTATTGCAGTTAAACGCTATATCAGAAAAGGTATTCCAAATGAGCACCGTGCCGAGGTCTGGATGGTAGTGAGCGGTGCTCGGTCTCATATGGATCATAACCCCGGCTATTACCAGAAATTATTGGAAGGAGACCAAAACAGCAAACTTGTGGAAACAATTCTGACAGGTTAGCTTCAAAATACGTATCTATAATTAGAATTTTCTGTGCATTAGGAGCTTGTTATCCACAGTTCCCTGCCCAGATATGGGTGCAAGTAAGTATGACCTTCTACTTGAATTATGGAGGTGCATGAAATTGATCATTATTTTTCTGCACAGAAGCACTGCTTTTTATACCAATTAAAACATTGTCTTAAGAATTGTTGCATTATTTTTCCTTATCTCTTGCTGTCTGTCAAAAAAGAATTTGGCAGGTATGTTGCTGTTAGTCTAGTACTAACTCTAATACAAAGTTCTTAAGTTTTGGTTCCTGCAAGTTTAGAATTCTGATTCTTTGATAACTTTTCCCCTTACTTGCTGCAACTTAGTTTTTCTAAAATGAGTTGTGGGAGGATGAGAGATAGTCCTAGCAATGCATTTCCAAAATTGTGCAGCTACAATAATGATAGAACAGTTCTATGCCACATTTTCCCAACTGCCCCCCAGTTGTGTTCGGATTGCCCTTCTAAGAATGCCCACAAATAGGACAGTGTAGAATTCCAACCCATCTAGAGAACACTATGTTTGAGAAGACCGTCCTAAACAACTGAAGCTGCTTTTCTGCGACAGCTTTTATATCATTGTATAGTGAGCCTTCCTCCACCTCGTGCCCACCAGCTATTTTGGGCTGCAACTTCTGTGCTAGTTCAGCTGGTGGAAGTTTTAAGCTCTGAAGGTCATCAAGTTGTAACACAGAATTTAATGTTGAAATATGCTGAAATCCTTTACTCTTTTTTGTTGCTGCTTCAGCTTGGAAATGAAATTACTATTTTTCTTAAATGAATAATGTTTTTGGAATTATCCTGCTAGATTAATTTGGAGGAATTCGTAGGGAAGAAAAAAGCAACTAGAGTTATAAGAGACATCTTTCTGTGAATGTGACAGGATGTTCATTGAAATAAGCAAATTGATGCAGTTGTAGTAATGTAAAAAGGTTTCCTGTTCACAAAGCTAGTGTCCTCAAAAAACAAATAAGATAATTATTTGAGGCCATTGGGACAGGCTATAGGCAGGCATTTTACAGTGTGACTGGAGTAGATATTTGTTGAAGATTCATAAAGACAGTTACAGCAGGATTGGGAACCACTTGTTCAAAGAACGTGCAGTGCATGTGATTCCTAAATGCTGTACACATTGAGTGTAAATCCAAGATTGAGATTCCAAATATATCACTGGTTAATATTTGTTTCCACTGCAGAATAGTGGATTAGTCCACTGTGTGTGTTACAAGGGGATGTATGTGTTTAAGTGTTCCTACAAGCACTGCTGTTATCTATATCAACCGCTCTATCCTGCAGGGTTCTCTGGATTGATTTCAATACCTGCTAATTCCCAATTTCATGTCTTTATTAAAGGGGAAATTAAAATACTAAATAGGACTCAGATTTGGTCACACTTAAAGCAGACCTATTGTACCTGGGGCAGACCTAGCCATGCCCAAAGATGAGGGAAGGAGGAAGAGCAGGATGGAAATTCTTGTTACTTTGAGCCAAAATGATAACTCAAATACTATATTTTAGCTATATTTTATCCCTTCAAATATTGCTATATATTCATACAGGTTAGTCTTTGCTCACATAGGAATGATGTAAGATTTCTTAAAGCGAATGTGATTGCAAAGAAGTAAATTTTACTGAACTCACTGGAAATTATTTTTAAATGTTTGAGAACAGCCTGCAAGGACATGTCAATTTAACAGGCATGTCTCTCAGTCCTTTAATTTCATGTGTACTTTTTCAGCTGCTTTCAGTATTTAAGGGTGCAGCAAGAAGTGTGATTAAGCAGTAATCTTAAAAGAGTTACTGAGGAACTTACATTTTTATAATATAATTCTGTGATTCTTTTTTACTTACTTGAAGTTAAATTCCACTGGGTTCAAGAATTATTACTCTTTAGAATACATCTAGAAGTGCAGTCTGAAGAGAGTTGATGAATTTTGTAGGATAAAAGAAAAACGTAAAGCCAAACTAGAATTTTTCTAAAATGTATTTGCTGGATGTAGGTTTTTGCTTTTTGAACCAAGTAACAAAATATTACCTATGTTACCATTTGTTTAACCATAAATCTATGAGTGAGTAGGGGTCCAGTCTAGTTCAGTTCCCAAAACTTTGTTCCATGGATTAATATTTAAAATGTTTCCTTTTTCAAATTATAGACATCAATAGGACATTTCCAGATAATATAAAGTTCCGCAAAACTGCTGTTCCCTGTTTACAGAAAACACTCTACAATGTATTAGTAGCATATGGGCACCATAATCCATCTGTGGGATACTGCCAGGTATGTAATTCTAAAAAACTAAGTATGTGTTACTTTTGCAATAGAAAATAATAGCAAACCAAATCGTTGAGTTTTACTCATTTAGTGTCTTGAATGTTACTCATATTTCAGTAGTTTAAGACATGCAATCCAACTCTTTTCTAATCTGAAGCTCTTTGGAATTTTTTCTGAGACTGGTATTGAGGGCCTCCTCCCTGGGACTGGAACTGGGTTTGAGAAGACCTCCCATATGTGTCAGGACTTGTAAACTCCCTGCCCACCAGCTCCAAGTGATAGGAAACAGTGAGAATGTGCAGACTCCAGAAGAAGGGCACTGTCAGCATGTCATTGAGAATGTTCTCCAAGCTTTGTCTCCTATTTTCTACCGCTTAGAAAAGCTCTGAGCTTCAGAAAATATCTGAGCTAAACTCAGTCACTTGAAATAGGTCTTATTGGTTAAGTTCATACTCTGTACTAAGTAATAAACCATAATTGACTAACCCACAAATATTAAGTTTATATAATGTGCTAAGGCAAAACCAGACCAAGCAGATTATAGTTAAGTATGATGTTTGAACCCCATGACAGATTTCAAAGGATTGCATATTGCCAAATCAAGCTTGCAAACTAGGCTGCAAGCCAAGACCAAGGGATCCATTTTAATGATTAGGATGCCAGTAGTGTTTGGGTCTCAGCACTTGAACAGCATCTTGAGATTGGCAACCATCATTTTGATGTAGCATGTAAATCCCCATTTCTTCTCTAAAAATTCAGATTCAGCAAGCAGGACTCTTCCACTGAGGTTGACCAGTCAAAAGGATTCTAAGAGCCTATAAATGTTATTGGGGAGATCTGTGCTGTACCATTTGATGATTGTAAGTCCATTGAATGGGACTAATCACATCACTAATATGACATTACATATGTTCTTTGCAACCAGTGGAGTTGCTTCCTTGTTGATACTGTAGAAAAGAATCAGGCTAAAATAGTTTCAGAGCAGCCTTTTCCAACTCATGTCTCTTTAGCATAGTCATAAAAGTTAGGGCTATGATATCCAGAATTCCCAGCCAGCATTGTTAGTTGGAATCTCGGCCCATCTGGCAGAAACCAGAATAGAGAAGGAATAGGTCTAGGTTCCCCAACTGTCCATCTCTCTCTCTCATTGGTGATGTCCTCCTCTTTTCCAAAAAGCCCCACTGCTAACATACATTTCCCATGAAGGAGGAGATGGGGGAACTTGTGCTCTCTCCTGCAGTAGAGGCTTGACAAAGCCAATTGAGGTGGGGAACCAACATTCTTTGCATGAAGCACTTTCATCTGTTCAGGATGAAACAGGAAGGCAATTTTCCCCATTTGGTCCTGTACCAAGTAACTAGCTGGCCTGCACATTCTCCCATTAGGAAAAGCGCTGGCAGGTATTTTAAGTGGAATACCTGCATGAATGACTCTGACAATTCTTGATTGCCTTGCACTTTCCTCAGAGGGAAGGCAGAAGACATGAAAACAGGATTGTGAGTAAAGGTGCTCTGCTAGAGTGCCTGTATAAACAGTAACTCTGGTAGGTGAGGAAGGAGGGAAGGGTCTGCTGCATAGCCTTACTGCCCAGGTGAGCTGGTCTGGTAACCCAAATTAGTCTTGTTAACAGAAAACTCCTATCCCTGTCCTAGAATAACCATCATTAATCCATTTTACCATTGAGTAAATTCAGTAGATGGCAACTGTAGCTTTGGAACAAGCTGCTACTATATTCTGCAAAATAGATGCCATTATTCTTCAGAATACTTGTCAAATCAACGGATCAGTTTGAGGACTTCTGAAAATTATGTGCTATTGAGAAGTTGAAGCTTTTTCAACTGGATAAAATACGTTGAACGCTGCAGGCGGCAGATTGTTCCAAGTAGACCTTTCAGAGGCAATAGAGTGTATATGATTCTGTGTAATTTAAGCTTATATTTCAGGAATTTTTAAATATTTCTCAGTACAGAAATGTTAATGTGACAGTTAATCTGTTTCAGAGAATCTTGCAGTGAACATTGCTTTAGAGGTATTTAAATTGTATTTAAAAAATACAAGTTTTCTTTGCTATTTTATGCAACAGTACTAATAGAGTCTTATACTGGCATGCATGGTTAGTAAATGCAGTTGCTCTTCAGACATTCTCTGAGGGGCAGACTTTTATAGTTCCTGCAACCAAATGCCAAATAGTCTCCATGGTTGCTATTGTCAAGCAAACTAACCACACAACTGGAGGGCAAAATACCCCAACAACACTGAACATTTTTTATACTAGCTGTAGGCTTTTCATAGATTGGTAAGAGGATGTGAGGAGGTGGGGGACGCACTGTTTGAAGAAAGCCAATGTCATGTCAACAGATGATTATAAAGTCTTGGAAACTTAGGAGAAAAGCTGATTCTATTTGAATGACCTGAAATGTTCTATAAAGAATTATTGCCACATTGAGTTTTTTGTCTTGTTTGAATCCAAGCTGGCATTCTTTATGAAGTTAAAATTAAAAAGTCTAATCTTCCTGCTCTAGAATTGACTAAAAAGATGAACAACTAGTGAAATAAAAGCCAGGAGAATTAAAAAGACAATGAGAAACTGGAGATGCATTGAAAGATTAAATCTAAATGAATGCAAGTGATACTACTCTTCATGAATATTCTAAAACTTACCACTCACATAACACATAACTCTTCAAAAGCTATGGCATTACTCAACTTTGTTGCAAAGTAATTCTTGATTTGTAAAAGTGCAGAAGTAATAGAAACTATCTATTGGCATAGTCACAAGTCTATAAGCTCAAAGGCAGTGGCAAATTTTATGCCGAAAGCAGATCCTTTTTTTTTTTTTTTAACCCCAAATCCCAAAGAGGTCTTTCTCCTTTAGGTCAGATTGGCCACCTCATAAATGTCTGGACTAATTTTCCATCAAAGTCTTGTAATCCTCCAAAGTGCTTCTGTTGGATATGTGAGGAGAAGAAAGAATAAAGAATTCCTGTCCTGTCAACAAAAAAATTCTATTGTGACATTAAATTAACATAGAAGTCAAAATGTTTTGCTTTTTTCTCTTTATTTTATTCTCTTGACTCCCTTGGGATTGCATAAGTCAACATGAAATAAATAGGAATTTCATTTTTATTTCAGGGCATGAATTTCATAGCTGGATACCTGATTCTTATTACAAGGAACGAAGAGGAATCATTTTGGTTATTAGATGCTCTCATCGGCCGAATATTACCTGGTATGTCTAAATCTCATCTTAGAATTCATTTCCTGTGTTTCCTGTTTCCTTTAAATGAGTTTAATAGATAGAAATAACTTTGCTGTTCATATAAACAGCTTTTGGTTTCCAGGAGTCTAAATGTATATAATGTACCATCAGTAATGTGTTGAGAATTTCTTAACTTCTATTCAGAAAAGGACTTTTGTGTCAGAAACTGCAAATTATGTGCATGTGCTCCTTAAGTATATGTTTCCCTATATACAAAATAAATATATATCATCATTTGCATCATGGGATCAAATTAAAAAATCTGGGAGACTGTTTCTAGCCTAGACTTTGTTCTGCATAGAGAAATGGGGCGGAGAGTGTGTATGTGGACATGGCTTATATGATTATGTGAGCTCTCATCTGTAATCCATTCTAGGCTGAGATTTTACTACTTTGGTGAAATTATTTTTAAAAACTGAGCTGAACCAGAGCTACTCTTCTAAAAGCTTCTAGACATTTGTATATTTGTTAAAATAGTTCAACTCAAACTCTTAGAGGATCTAGTAGCTTTAAAATACCTTTTCATATACCAGACTGCTGGATGATGCTTTAGGTGATCTAAATATATTGATGACTGTAGCTCAAATACTAAAGACATATGGTTTAAAACAGTGCTCGGAAGCCAGTGGTCTGTGAAAACAGCCAATCTTGATAGGTCTGCTTGATAGATAGTAAAATCGTTTACTCAAATAAAGACCCTGAAAGCATTTGCAGTGAGGAAGATCACTGGTTTGGCTTGAAGTCTTTTAATTTGGAATAGCACTCCTTGTTGCTATACATCAATGCTTCCATTTCTGATCTTGGCAGATGCATGAAGTTCAGCTCCCAGAATTCCCCTGCTAACATGGTCATTGCTGGGAATCATAGGAGTTGAAATCCACATATACAAAAGTTGCCAAGGTTGGGGAACACTGTTGTACATTACACCTTTTTAAAATGCACTATAAGGGAGCTTTGTAGGGTGATAGCATAGGCTCAGTAATCTACATGCATATATCTGATAAGCTGATGCTGCTTTTCTTATTACAAATAAATGTTTCCATACTGTCAAAGTAGGGAGGTTTTTTTTGGATGGCAACATAAAGTAGTATTTGGATGAGTTATTTGACATCTTTCAGATGGAAGACATCAAATCCTTTATGACTTATTTAGTAAAACATGTCACGTTCAACAGGATCAGGAATGATACACTGCACAGAATATTAGACTTCATCCTTAGAATCCAATCTACTCATAAAGGTCATGAGGTAGGTGTTTGCATGAACAAGCTTGGTGCTAATGTGAAAAATTAGATGGAGTCTATTTTTGTATATATTGTAAACCTATTACAGTTGAGATACAACATGAAATGGAATATAGATATTGCAGAACTTATATTAAGCTTATTACATTACATTAAGAAAAATAATTAATATTCAACATTAGTTAACTATTAACTATGTGTCTGGAATAATTCAGTTACTCCTATTTAATTTATTAGCTGCATTCAATAGCTACCCCTAAAAGTTTGGCCATCACAAGAGCCACCTTTGGATCTCTATCAGGTGACAAAAATGTAGCATATTTAACATTAAATCTGTTTGATAGTTTTTTAATATAAGCCAGATCAAATCCTTGTGAACCATCACATAAAAATTACAGATCAGGAGAAATATGCTCCATTGATCCAGCCTTTTTGCTATGAAGGATAAAATCTTTATAGAATAGAAATCCTTTCAAATCTATCTGAAAGGTGATAGGACATTTAATCTAGCCTTAATACAAGCAATTTGATATTTACTACATCCATTTGGAACTGATGCCTAAGTTCCATAGTAAGCAGGATGATTTAGTTTTGATTATTTAGCTCCTGCATGGAGATAATCCCATAATCTCTCCTTGGTCCATGTTTGTAATTATGACCTCCTTAAAGGATTAAAGTAAAAAAATGCATATGTATGTATGTATATGGGGGTGGTGTAAGCATATTAAAGCAACAGAATTAAACTTTCAAGCATGGGGATGTATAGACTAAAGTGCATAAACTGGGGAATAACTGTACTTTTGATTATGCGCCATCAAGTTGGTGTTGAATCTTAGCAACGATATAGATACACCTTCTCTAGGATGATCAGGCCCTAACCTGGCCCTTCAGTTCTTCCATCTGTGTGCCCATCACTGCTGTAATTGAGTCCATCCACCTTGCTGCTGGTTATCCTCTTTTTCCTATTTATTTATTTATGCAATTTCTGTAGCTGCCCATCTCAATCCAAGTGACTCTTTCCTTCCAACTTCTCAGCATTATAGACTTCTGAAAAAAGCTAGGTCTTCACATAATGTGTCCAAAATATAATTTCAACCTGGTCATTTGTGCCTCAAGTGGGTACTTTATTTGTTCTATGATCAATGTGTTTGCTTTCTTGGCTATCCATGACATTCTTTTCCAATACCAACATTCAAAAACGTCAATACTTTTTATGTTCTGCTTCTTTAACATTAACTTCCATAGAGAATCACGGGGAAAACCAGTTCCTTCACAATTCTGATCTTCATAGGTATAGACCAGTGTTTCTCAACCTTGGCAACTTGAAGATGTGTGGACTTCAACTGTTGAAGTCCACACATCTTCAAGTTGCCAAGGTTGAGAAACACTGGTATAGACACATCCCAGCATCTGAATATCTTCTTCAAGGTCTCCATTACTATTTTACCAAGTGCTAGTCTCTGGGATATTTCTTGACTGCTTGATCCTTTACTGTTGATAGTTGCTCCTAAAAGGGAGAAGCTATCTACCACTTCAATATCTTCATTGTCGATTTTAAGGCTGGTTACGTACCTGTTGTCATGAATTTAGTTGTCTTTATACTTAATCTTAATATCACTTTTTCACTGTGCTCCTTGACTTTCGTTACTAGAGCTTGCATTTGCATTTTCAGCTAGGAAAGTAGTATCTTCAGCATAGCACAGTTTATTGATGTTTCTTCCTCCAGTTTTAAAATCATGTGCATCTTCTTTCAATCCAGTTTCCCTTAATATCCCATCCATTTTGCCATGTTCCGTCTTGTAGATTGTGGCTTCCTGACCTGTGTATAGATTTTGCATGAGGGCAATGAGCTGTTCTGAGTTTCCATTTTTCTAAGCGCATTCCCCAATTTGACATGATTGACACAAATAACTTTCTATAATCTATGAAGCACCCATCGACTTATTTTTTTATATTATTTGGCTTTCTCAGTTATCCAGCATTCATCAGTAATAATGTTTGTATTCCGTGGCCTTTTCTAAAGCCTCCTTGAACACCTGGCATCTCCCTTTCCAAGCAGGGCTCTAATCTACATTGGATGATCCTAAGCACTATTTTGGGTACATGTGAAGAGAGCCTCCTCTTCTTCCGCATCAGTGGTTGAAGCACAAACCTGGATGCATGTAAAATTAAAGGGTTGTCTGGAAAGTCTAACGGATGTTATTTGGTCATTGATTGCATTGCAGCCAAGTACTGTTCTTGCTATACCTGTCCTGATTATGAAAGCACTGGTGTTCCTCCTTTGTTTTTCATGTCCTGAGTTAATAGTATGATTTTCTAACTGAAAGTGTCCAGTCCCGGTCCGTTTCAATTCAGTGGTGCCTGAGATACCAATGTGTAGCTGATTCATCTTTTGCTATGTTGAGCTTTCCCACGTTTATGCTTCTTACATTCCACGTTTCTACTGCAATTTTGTCTTTGCAGCTTTGCATTTTCCTTTTCTGTGTGGCAACATCAACAACTAGGCATCCCAAAGGCTTTAACCTAGCCATGTCATAAACATTCATATTCTGAAAGAGCTTCAGCTTTTCCTTTTTCAGTAGTGTATATCGTCAGTCACTTTATATTGTTTATTCATGTGATTGTCTTAGTAAAATGCAGGAGTGGTTTACCATCGCCTTCTCCCACGCAGTATGAAATGATGCCTTTGCCATTGCCACTAACGTGATCTTCTGCCCCAGCATCTCCCTATTTCGCTGCTGCCCAGTATAGTACCTGCTTGCTTTAACTGGGGAGCTGGAATGATCTTCACACCTGCGTGACCTTGCTGGGATTATATACTCTTGACATGTATGTACTCTTGACTCCTGGTGTTCTTCACTCAACCCTCCCAGGAATACTGTCCCATTCCCCCCATATTCCCTCCT